CCATATTTTCGCGTATTTAAGACGCGTATTATGCAATGTTTTACCTTCCCCGCACCCAGGGTGCGCAACGCCGGCCTTAGGTAAACTGTCGCCCTGTGCCAAGCACCCGTTCGGCGCCCACTTCCCTGTCCCTGTATGGCTCCGCTCTTTTTTCCGATTACGACGTCGGCTATGTAGCACGTGTTATGATCCTATACATGTAGAAAGCCATACGCATTTTAACATGCACATTCATTTAGACTGTTTAGTTTTTCTACGGTACTTCACACTTCACTATAATAAACTTAGGGAATTTAAATATTTTCTGAGCGCCCTAGGCGCCCCTATGGCCATGGCGCCCTGTGCGAGGTCACAGATCGTACATTAAGGCCGGCGTTGGGGTGCGTCTTATAAATGGGTGCGTCTTATGTAAAATATTTGTACACAAATCGTCAAAACCCGCGTCTTATACAGAATATGGGTTCGTCTTATAATTAGGTGCGTCTTATAATTAGGTGTGTCTTATACTTAGGTGTGTCTTATACTTAGGTGTTTCTTATACTTATATGCGCAAAAATACGGTAACCACACGATGTTGATGCTTTTCTCACGAATGAACTAAGACACTTCTCCGACTATGTAATGTAAAGCAGAATTATCCCTTAAAGTTAAATTTTCAACACAAAGACATGTGTCAGATAATCTTTTCAGACAAGATTGAATTAATTTTCGCAAATGTGAAGCAATATTTCGAGTATTCCTGTGTTTTGAGAGGTGTGGCAGGGGAGGGTCAGAAAGAGAGAGAGAGAGAGAGAGAGAGAGAGAGAGAGAGAGAGAGAGAGAGAGAGAGAGAGAGAGAGAGAGAGAGAGAAAAAAGAGAAATATATGAAAAAAAAAAAAAAAGAACGTGACTAGAAAGATCAAGAATAAATCTGCATTAAATCCATTAACAAACAATGGTATCTTATATTTTATATTACTAATGCCATGTCAGGCGAACAACAAAGTTTCCGACATAACCATGCAATGCTGGTCTGAGGTCCGTGCTTTAGACTCAAGTGTGTACAAAATACTTAGTTGGGCTGATGTTTGAGTGAATCGGTGGTGAGAGAGTTCAAGGACGAGTAAACTATGGAGCAGGCCCATGTGAGTTCAAGGACGATTTAAAAAAAAAAAAGGAGCTGACCATCATGTGTTGGTATGGAGGGGAAGTCTAATAAAACCTGTTGCACGTGTATCACTTTTACTCCATTGGTTTGACCCACGAGCGCAGGAAGGGTGGGGTAGAGGGGGCATTTTCGGCCAACGGCAGTGGTTTTTATTTTCTTAAGGGAAGCGGCAGCATCTTGCCTCGCCCTGGGTTTTCCTAAATCAAGCTACGGGCAACTGTCTTGAGCTATGTCAATGGGTCTGAAATGGTTCTACCGCTACTTATATCTCGCTCACTTTATGGATTGGAGGATAGTTTAGCACGGGGTCTGCATGATTTCTTTACGTCTAGGTGATCGGGGTGGGAGGGGGGTGGGTGGGGGAGAGGGGGGTGGTTCCCCGGGGGTTCTTTTCTTTTATTTATTATTATTTTTTTTGCTAATGTTTTGCCTTTTAAATTTAAGAAATGAGACTAGATTATTAAAAACTAATTTTTAAAAAAAATATTGTTTTAGCTTACAATAATAAGCAAATTTTTTTGTGTGTAGAAAAATAATTTCTGGATTTTAGCTTGAAACATGCTTGTTTTTTTGTGACTTTATTATGTTTTATCTGGGGTGGTTGCTAGAAATGTTATATAATATTTTTGGGGGTGGTCAATGGAAATGTTAAATAACGTTATATGTTATCTATAGGGGTGGTCAATGGGAATGTTAAATAACGTTATACTTTTACGTTATCTATAGAGGTGGTTAAAGATTTTTGTTTGACATTAATATGTGCACGGCCACTAAGCTCTATTTCTTCACCGCTGTACCCAATAACTGATAAACGCACTATTAATAAATAAGAATGATTCATTAAATTCACGAAAATTAGTTCGCTGAAAAGAATACAGAGAATGTAAATATGAGGATTCGATTTCCTGTATTGAGTTCTTACACACAAAAAAGAGGTGCTATCGTTGATAATGTGAAACTCGTCGACCAATTTTTGAACCAGATTTCATTCGGATTAGGTTCTTGGCAGATCATAGGCTGCATGAACAATGGACGATGTTTTTGAAAATAAGCATTGAGTGTCACTGATTGCTACTGAAAAAAAAAAAAAAATTGTCAATTTTAATTTTGTATTCCTGGTCATAATGCATGCACGGCGAATTTTTCCTCACTGATAAACTCTTAGTGGGCTAAGGGGCCATCCATAAATGACGTTTCGCGTCGGGCGTTGGGGTGGTGGGTCAGATTTTGGGACGATGTATAGCGAGGGGGGGAGGGGGAGGTTAAAGCAATGTGACATCACATTAAAAGTTCTAAAAAAAAAAATGCCCTTAATACCACTAAATTACATAAATTTATAACATTTTTTTTTTATACAACAATTATAATTCTTTTATTTTTAAATAAAAAAAAAAATGCCCTTAATACCACTAAATTACATAAATTTATAACATTTTTTTTTTATACAACAATTATAATTCTTTTATTTTTAAACTGCGACCACCGAGAGAAGCAGTCCTGGCAGCCGAGGTCGCAAACAATGGTCCCTGACAAGTTACAGGTGGCCACGGAAGAGGAGGATTTGGGTGAAGTGACAGTGACAGTTGTGAGAATTTATGTTGAAATGTAGAGACGGGAGTCATAGGATTAGGATGTTGAAATGTAGAGACGGGAGTCATAGGATTAGGATGTTGAAATGTAGAGACGGGAGTCATAGAATTAGGATGTTGAAATGTAGAGACGGGAGGCATAGAATTAGGATGTTGAAATGTAGAGAGGGGAGTCATAGACTTAGGATATTGAAATGTAGAGACGGGAGGCATAGAATTAGGATGTTGAAATGTAGAGACGGGAGTCATAGGATTAAGATGTTGAAATGTGGATACGGGAGTCATAGAATTAGGATGTTGAAATGCAGAGACGGGAGCCATAGACTTAGGATGTTGAAATGTAGAAACGGGAGTCATAGGATTAGGATGTTGAAATGTAGAGACGGGAGTCATAGACTTAGGATATTGAAATGTAGAGACGGGAGGCATAGAATTAGGATGTTGAAATGTAGAGACGGGAGTCATAGACTTAGGATATTGAAATGTAGAGACGGGAGTCATAGAATTAGGATGTTGAAATCTTGATGCGGGAGTCACAGACTTAGGACTACCACGTGAAGTGGGATGGAACGAAAAAAAGGTTAACCGGGGAGGGACTAGGGTCGATCTTCGTAAATCATCTAGAGTAGGGATTCTTAGCCTTCCTGCAGCGCTGCAGCCCCATTCAGATTTGAAGCTTTTCCCCACCCCCCGTATAAATTATATTGTAATAAAACTCAAATTATGAAAATAATTAAATAATTTAGTTATTGTAGTTTTACTTCTTTAATTAACTTTATATAAACAAAAATAAAATCAACCAGGGTAATCTCAGCTTTGTCCTGTCATTTCTGCCATGTCATCTCTGTCGTTACCCCGAAATAACATATCAACCAGCGTAATCTCAGCTTTGCCCTAAAAAAAAATAAAAAAAAAAAAAAAAAAAAACAAACTATTCCATTAAGGTTTACTGATGCCAATCAAAATGCATAAAAGCTTTTTTTTATTTTTTATCTTTTAAAGGCAGCAACAACTAGCAATGGCAGCAAATAAAATTTTCTTGGTTTTCCGCACCATAGTGGTGCTATCACCCCTGGTTCAGAACCAATGTTCTAGCCAAATGTTTCTGACATTCGATATCCATTGGAGGTGAATTTTTATAGTGTTTGTAGAGGACAATAACAGACAAAGGGATTTTAAAAAAAATTGGAGAGGTTGAGAGGGGGGGGTATAGCAGAGATTTATGACGTTATATTTGAGAGGAAGGGTCTAACTTTTTGTGACGATTTTGTCGATGGGGGTAAAAATCGGCTAAGTTTGAGTGACTTCATTTCTAGATGACCCTTAAAGAGCCAAATCGACTTGATGTGCAGTCGGTGAAGGCAATAATACCTACAAAATGCAATATAAGAATACATGAAATGCTCGAAGTTTAATAGTTACCTCTTAAGAAACGAAGACATTTTATTTAAAAAAAAGAGGCCAGCTCTGAGACTAAATGCATTACTGGTGTCAAAATTCTACGATGATAAATAGTATTTTAATGTTGTAGGCCTAGAGATTGATTCATTTAAGAAAACATCTTATATTTCAATATGTTTATTTTGACATGTCATCTTATCAAAACAAAGTTTCCTCCTTTTTTAAACATTTTCAAAATGAAATGTACAGCTTGTGCTCGACTTACGACCTTTGCAACTTACGACCATTCGACTTTACGACCACAAACACTAGCCACACTGTATTAGATTTCAGATTAATTATTTCTGCCTCAATCATCAGTCGGACGGCGATGTCTGCAATCATCGGCGGTCGTGAACATCGACCATTATGATTTGTAACAATAATAAAATAAATTTATGATATAATTTAACTTAAATATTTTTATACCATCACTTCACATAGCGTACTCAACTTACGACCAAATTGTGTTACGACCGGTCTGTCGGAACCGATCGTGGTCGTAAGTCGAGCACTAGCTGTACTCCATTTTCATTTTTACATTTGACAACCCTATGCCTATGACTATGCGGTATACGTTACACAGTCATAGAAAAAAATATTTTTTGACAGAAAAGTGTTTCTGCGGAACTCCAAGACTCAACATTACTTTTTAATTAAAGATAATAAATGAGCACTAGATTTTAATGGGATGTCCAAAGTATTTTTGCATGAAATTTTATTTATTTGCACGGACGTTTGACCCCACTCCACATCACATTGTCCCAAATGTGTTTCGGTACTTATGGTAACTACCGGCATCTAGCCTGTCAACAAACAAGAACCACCACTCTGGATCAGTAGTAAGACTAGACTTTTATAAATTTTAATAATATTTAGGAATACCAGTGTAGACAGACAGATATGACTGACGTCCTTCTAAATAAAGTTAGTGTGTGTGTCATAACGGGTCCCACCAGAGGACTGGGAAGGAGCATGGCGCATCAATTTTCTCGAAAGTTACCCAAAGGATCGTTGTTTATTCTTCTTTCGAGAAATCAACCTCTTCTGGATAGTGCTGCTGATATGGTCCTAGAGAATGAAGGCATAAGGGCCGTAACAGGAATTTTAGATCAGCAAGGCAGTGACCAAGGCGTGTTTGACAACATTTTACAAGACTGCTTAGCAAGGGCAAAAGCTGATGTAGCAGAATTTGAACAAGCAATTCTTGTGAATAATGCTGGTTCTCTTGAACCGCTAGAGTTTGTTCGGGACCTTGACAATGTTAATATAATTTCATCTTATTTCAACACAAACTTAACTGGGTGCATTGCCCTGACTTCTAAATTTCTACAAATCTTCAAATCATCAATTTTAAAATCAAGAGTAATCATTAACATTTCTTCACTAGCAGCTATTTCACCAATGAAAAGCTGGCTTTTATACTGCATGGGTAAGACTAGAAAGAGTGAGAATAATTAGCAGTGTGAGTGTGATATTTGTTATAATAATTCATATAATTAATTCTTAGACAGTGTCATTACTAGGCTTTTATTTTTATTAGCTTTAGTCAGACTTATTAAACTGTTAATAAATAAAAATAGGCCTAATATTAAATTTATCAAAATCTATTGGGTAATTAAAAAAAACACAGCGCAGAGAAATCCTGAAAGAGGTAAAAACAACCAACATCTAAAAATAAAATGCTGGTAAATTCAGACAGTCTGCGCCACGGCTGTCATCTTGGTTGTCATGACCCGTGAAAGGTCACCCTAAACTTATCCTTAAATCTAACCTGAACACTAAACCTCTTAAGTTAAATAAACCACCTAAAAGATGACATCATGGCGCGAATTGTCTGCTTTATATAAAAGGCCTTTTTCGGCAAACAAAATAACAGTAAAACTTAAGAAGAACTTATAACTTATAGAATTTCAAGTTGCGATAAGTCTGAGAGAAAAGTGCTGACTGCAAGCTTTTTATTACTTACCTACTATTTTATTATTAGGCCTAAGAAATATAAGATTTTGAGTTCTGTGTTGCAATGGCAACACTGTTGACCTCATGGCCAAGATTAGCTTGTTTAATTTCATCTGTGGTTATCTACAACTGGGGGAAGCAGAAATTACTGGCTGGAACTGACTTTTTAGTGAAGTTAAAATAGTAGTTCTTGGGGAATAGGTAAAAAAAAAACCTCAACCACTGATGTCAGATAGGGTGGTCCAACTGAACTTGGCCTGGGATAAAAAATTACCAGATTCTGTCTTTGCAAAATAACTGTTGTCTTATCAGGTAATAATGCATATCACAAGAATCTAATCTTCCCAATGGCAATGCAACTGCACACTGTGCTTTTAAGAATTTGACCCTAAATTGGGTGTTAGCTGGCTCTTAAACATTTTTTTTTTAAAATGCTTGATCTACTAAAAAAAATTTAGTATTTTGGGTTTTTAATTTTAATTATTTTGATTTAACGCACATGAAAAAAATGTGTAAATCAATACTGTTAATATTTGTACCATTAGCCAAATCTGCACGTGATATAATGATGAAAGTAGTTGCAGAGGAAGAAGAAAATATAAGGACTCTAAACTATGCACCTGGACCATTGGTTACAGACATGACTGATATTGCTTGCCAGAATACAAAAGACATGGATCTAAGACATTGGTTTGAAGGTATTTCATGATTTTTAAGAAAAAATTCTAAATTAAACATTGCTAAAATCAGAATTCAGAAAGTGCACAAATCATTTTTATTTGTTAGGTTAAAAAAAGAACTTCATATTTATATATTATCTACATAAACTCAACTCAGTGCATTCTGTTGTTTTACCTTTAATTGAAATTATACGTTTTTAAAAATAAAATTCAGTTGCTATTGTCATTTTTTTAACACATCCTTGATTGTTAATTAATTAACAGAAGATAAATATCTATCTATTTTCAGAGCAAGTTCGGAAGAAATCTCTTGTTGAATGTGATGCTTCAGTGCAAAAACTTGTTACAATTTTGCAGCAAAATACTTTTGAAAATGGAGCTCATATGGATTATTTTGATGAAATTAATTAGGAGCCACTGAAAAGCAAGCTTTATGAAAACTCCAATCCCTTTCCAAGTCTGACATTTGACATCTCAATCTGTTAGCTGCAATCAGAAAAGTTTTTAGAAAGTTATTTTTCTTTTAAAGACACTGTCGCCATTGTTATAAATTTTGCTTTTTGTACATTCTGAGAGTATGGACTTTCTTAATGACCAATTATTGTCAAACTTTATTGAACTTATCCTGTAATTTTCTTTGAAAAATTGTTATTTATTATTGTCTTTATAAAAGAAGTTATGGTGTTAAGCCTTTTGAGATAACCTTTACCATTTTGAAGGTTATTGCTTAAGTTTTATATACCATTGATCTTAATAACTATGTGATAGTCAGATTTTGCTGTCTATTGTTTTTATATCACTGAAAAGTGAGGCATGGACTCTAGTCAGGTGGTGTTAGAGAAATTTTAAGGGGGCATCACTGTACATGTGTATTTCTAATTCATGGATTTTCTCCCTTGCTATATAACCATTTAGTTGAATTTTGGTTAGGCACTCATAAACATGAATTGTGATTACAATTTACCTGTTCTTTGTAGCTATCTTTAGCAGTTTCAGATTGGAGACTGGTTATAAAAATTAAATATTTTCTAAATGGTCAAAATGACACTGTTGACAGGATACCCTTTAAAAATGTTCTTGTTTCAAAATCTTACAAAAATAGCTCTCCTCAGTTATCTCTAAAAGAATTATGTTGTTAGGTACTTCATTATTTTCCAAAATTTTTTTTATCTTTCTCAAATTGATTAGCCTATTTTGCAATTTAGCAAGGGTAAAATCTTATGGCATTTATTTTAAAAAAAACACACAACATCATGAATACACAAAACCTTCTAGGACAGTGGCTCTCAACCTTCTTTAATGTCGCAACCCTTCAATACAGTTCCTCGTGTTGTGACCCCCAACTATAAAATTTTGTTCTTTGCTACTTCATAAATATGTGTTTCCCAGTGGTCTTAGGTGCCCCTGTGTAAGGGTCGTTCGACCCCCCCCCCCCTCCCCCCCAAAGAGGTAGCGAACCATAGGTTCAGAACCGCTGGTCTAGGGTAAGGATTTTAGGAATTCCCTTATTACTTATTAACATTATTATTGATTAAATGAGTCCAATTTATTGACGAATCTAAACAAATCTATGTAGGTTAAAGAAGGCAAGGCAAAGATTGCTCATGACATAAAGATTAATGAAAAACATTATTATTACTGTTTTACTTCTTTAGAACAGGGCTTTATAGTTTAAGGGTTTTGCTGGTGAATGTAACGGTTGTTCATTTTCAAACAGGGTTTAGCTGGTGAATGTGACGGTTGTTCATTTTCAAACAGGGTTTTCTGGTGAATGTGTAAAGGTTGTTGATTTTTAAACAGGGTTTAGCTGGCGAATGTAAAGGTGTTCATTTTCAAACAGGGTTTAGCTGGCGAATGTAAAGGTGTTCATTTTCAAACAGGGTTTAGCTGGCGAATGTAAAGGTTGTTCATTTTCAAANCGCCCCCCCTCCCCCCGGGAAATTTCTGAAATAATCACTGCACTCGAGGTCCAAATAAAAAAGAATCAAAACATGGATGTTTTTTAAAATTATTTATATAATATTATTTCATTCAGTTAATGACCTCCAGCTGCAGTTCCTCTGGGTAACTGGCCACATCTGTTTCAATTGGGTTTTGAAAAAGTCTCACTTTTTTGCCTTTAAGCTGAAGATGTAGCTGGAGGTCTTTGATGATCTCGCATACAGATGACGTGGGGAACTCCGCTGCTGCTTCAGCTATTCAGACCGTTCACTGCTACAAGAGCGTAAAGCTGTTGGCCTGTACTTGTTCCAAAAACAAGACGAGTTTGGATCTGAAGGCCTTTAAGAGGTGTATAGATCTTGTGTTATGTTCATGTCTTCAACAACACTCTTAACGAATGCAGCAAGCAGTTGAGAGGTGGAACAGCTGGCCAGCGATTCACCTATTGCAAATAAAAATTGGTTAAACTTGCTTGCATTTTTCGATATTTGAGTCACAATGTTTTCACCCATGTCTGCAACACGGCAGGCAAAGCCCCGCCACTAGATGGCGTTATATCATGTCATTTCATTGACTGTGAACGAAAGTAGAAAAACTAAGCATGGAATAAGATTTTGACAAAGTAATGATCGGTTAAGAAAACATAACGCACTACTGCGCGCCTCTATTTTAATTCGGTAAAAGCATAACGTCAACGTAAGCGGCGTCTGATCTTGTCAGGATACACGTACTTTTGAGTCATTTTTCATTCCGTTTACAAAAGGTCTCCGCGGCCCGCATGAGAGAGCCTCGCGGGCCGTAGTTTGGAGACCCCTGCTCTACTCTTAATGGATCTGTCCCACTAAAGCAAGGATGACCATTTGCTTTGCTTTTGTGCCCATTAAAGAAATGGATAATTCAGTCTATAGCATATTGAAAGAAATACCTGAGAATCTTAAATGACATGAATATATTATTTTGTTCTAGTAGGTAATGGATACCCACCTGGAACACTTCCAGCTGAAATATGGACTTTGTACCTAAGGATATGCTGTTTTTATGGTATCGTGCTGTGTTATTCTAGTATTTATTATATTTATCTTAGTTGCAGATTACAAAAAAAAATTAAATTTCCACCAAGTAACTGAACTTCATTTGGGCGGTAAACATGTGTTTATGTATGCATATGCCTTTATAATAATTCCCCAAATAAGTTTTGGGTGGTTTGTCCATCTCTGTGCAGTGGGTAGATCTCACATTTCTTCACCAGTGGATCGAGAAGTAAATCGTGTTATCATGGGCGCCCGCAGAAAACTTTCTAGGGGGGGGGGGGCAAAAAAATTGATTAACTTTCCAGGGAGGGGGGGGGCAAAAATTTTTTAGTAATGTTTTAATGTAGTTTTATTTTGTTCTTTGCTACTTCATAAATTGGTGTTTCCCAGTGGTCTTAGGTGCCCCTGTGTAAGGGTCGTTCGACCCCCCCCCCCCTCCCCCCCAAAGAGGTAGCGAACCATAGGTTCAGAACCGCTGGTCTAGGGTAAGGATTTTAGGAATTCCCTTATTACTTATTAACATTATTATTGATTAAATGAGTCCAATTTATTGACGAATCTAAACAAATCTATGTAGGTTAAAGAAGGCAAGGCAAAGATTGCTCATGACATAAAGATTAATGAAAAACATTATTATTACTGTTTTACTTCTTTAGAACAGGGCTTTATAGTTTAAGGGTTTTGCTGGTGAATGTAACGGTTGTTCATTTTCAAACAGGGTTTAGCTGGTGAATGTGACGGTTGTTCATTTTCAAACAGGGTTTTCTGGTGAATGTGTAAAGGTTGTTGATTTTTAAACAGGGTTTAGCTGGCGAATGTAAAGGTGTTCATTTTCAAACAGGGTTTAGCTGGCGAATGTAAAGGTGTTCATTTTCAAACAGGGTTTAGCTGGCGAATGTAAAGGTTGTTCATTTTCAAACAGGGTTTTGCTGGTGGAAGAAAGGGGCTATTTATTTTTAAACAAGATTTTTCTCGTGAATTTAAAGGTTATTTATTTTTAAACAGGGTTTTTGTGGTGGATGTAAAGTTTGTTCATTTTCAAACAAGGTTTTGCTGGTGAATGTTTAAGGTTATTAATTACCAAACAGGGTTTTGCTGGTGAATTTTAAAGTGAATTACATTAATATTGTTTATATGTGCTATGCTCTATTCCAGGGGTCTCCAAACTTTTCAGCCCGAGGGCCGCATTACCTATCAAACAGTAGTTCGCAGGCCGACTGCACACTCGAGCAGGGTTTCTTTCAGCATTATCTCA